CTGGGCTGGAACCCGCAGCGAGCTCTTCCCGCAGGCCTGCTGGAAAACTCCGCAAACGTTGCTGCTAGTTTGAATTTTGGCTTTGGTGGGCTTCGGTCCAAGCTGTGCGTAAACCGGGATGGAGAGTGCGCTGCTCCCTTCTCCGCCTTGGGTTTGTGCTTCCCTTCACGTCTGTCCTTGCGTGGGTGCTTGTCTGTTTGTAGTGGTGACCAGAAGAATGAAGGGCTTTACCGTAAGGTATCCGTGGTTGTCCCTTGGCACAAAGTCTGTAGGTGACCTTCCCTGGGGGGTGGGTAGTGCAGCTGGTCATCTAGGAGAGTCGCTGGGCCCTGGGCTCTCCGAGAGCCGAGCAGCTTCGCCAGAGAGAGTCACCCTGTGCTCTGGGGGGGGGTTCCATGCCGGGGGTGTGCCCTCGGAAAGGCTCGGTTCGTTATTTCATCCACATTTTGGACAAAAAAAAAAAAAAAGGCAAAACCTGATCCAACTTTTTTGTTGGATAATTCTGCAGCACTATTTACAATAATAAATAATTAAGCAATAATTAAATGGGAAAGCAGCATCAGGGAGATTGCTTTGCTGTCCCCAAATGCTGTCCGGGTGGGCAGTCTCTGCAGAGCCCACCAGCAGGTCCCTGTGGACCCTGCCCCTTCCTCAGGGCCTGGGGTCCCCGTGCTGGGTCTGCCAGGGCCCCCGCCCTGGCGGCACACTGGCCTTGGCGAGGGGGAGGCTGTTTCACTGGCATCGTCATTTGTTGCTAGTCAGTAGGAGACATTAGAAGAAAACCAGGTTTCTGGACTTATCTGGTGTAGGTAATAATTCTTTATCTAGATTTATGAAGTGCATTAAAAGTCTGTGTGCAGAGCTGGTGTTTGTTATTGCAACACCTGAGTGTGATGACTTCCTCTACCTTGGGAAAGTTGTCTGGGCTGGTTTCCCTTCTCTTCCCACCCGTTCTTTCCCCATCCCTTCTGCTGAGTGGAGAAGAAATTTTAACTGTGGCTGAAGTTCTCTACTTTCCATTTTGCCTCCAGTCTAATCACTGGAGCTTCATCTAAGAAAATATTATTAAGCAGGCTGGTTCTTCTATCATCAAGAGTGTAAATGTGGAAAAACCTGAAAAAAATCCTGCTTGGCAAATAAACAGCAAATTGAAAGCTCTGCCCTGGAAAGGAGTGAGCAGATGACTATGGCAACTTCCTGGTTGCTGAGGATCATTATGTGCTGATGTTATACTGATGTCCAGAGCCTGCAGGCAGGGTTAGTGCCTCAGCCCTTGCTGCCAGCTTCCTGCAGTGCAGGGCCATATTCTGGCAACTGGCCTGAATTTCAGGTTCATTCAGCAGCTTAGCAAACCTTCTAACTCAGAGTTACTGTATCTCTTTTAGCCCCAGGTCCTGCACAGCTGCCCGGTGCTCCCTTCCACCGCAGAGGGTTTCCCAGGGTCTGGTTAAACAGGTAGATGTGAGGGAGCTGGGCACTGCTGTGGCAGGACGCAGCTCTTCTTGCTGTGGAGAAACACGCTGGGTGCTCAGAACTGCCCGTGGGTGCAGGAAGCCCTGTCTCCGTTAAGTCCTTTGGACTCAAGGCTGCTCTGAGCCTCCAGCTGCATGAGGCAGCTTCTGTAAGAACCCAACCGCGTGCAGTGAAATGGTGTATTGGCGCTCATCAACTGCCAAGAGTCTGAGAAAACTCTCCCTGCCTGCGTTTTGGGGGAAAGAAGGTGCTCACAGGATGCCACCCTAGCTCTGCTTTCCGGTCCGGGGGTCTCTGCATGCGTCAAGTGATTTGGATGCAAATCATGGCAAGATGGCAGAGCTTGGGGCCAGGTGATCCTCCTGGCACACCCAGGGGTGCCGTAAGCCAGTGGGATGGCCGTTCTGTCCCTGCTTCCCCACTAACCGCTATTAGCATATGAGCAGAAGTGCTTCTGAAGAGGTTCCTGCTCAGAGTCAGCTTCCAGCTTCTGCAAAGCTTTCATCAGCCTGGCGGTGCTGGGGCAGCCCATGAGCCACTGCTGGGCAGCACGCACGGTCTCTTGGGAGCCAACAGCATCTGCTGGACGCAAGGCTGGTGAGGCTTATATTGAACAAGTCACCGGGCACAGAAATCGCCATGACGGCTTCCCTCCCACTGGTGCCTAGATGGCCTGTCACAGCAGCATCCCAGCATCTCAGTGTTGATGGTCTTCACCCTTGTGGTTCCCCTGAGAGCTGAGACCTGGGGAAGTTAAGGCACAGAGCAGAAAGTGCCTTGCCCGGGAGGTGTGCAGTGGTCCTGGGCACAGGACCTGTGCTCCTCCCCAGCACGGCGCTTGCCTCTGCTGCTGGAGTGGCCTGGCTATAGCAGCTGCCTGGAGAGCCGGTGGCCCTGGCAGGAAGGAGGGATGGTTTGTAGGTAGCTGTTACTGTCTGGGCCATTGCCAAGGATGGGCGTGTAAATGTGTACAATGACCAGGAGCTGTCTGCTCCGTCCTGGACACTTGCTCTGGTTGGCGAACGCTGGGCTCTTGCCCTGCAGGGGCAGAGGGGTTCTGGGAGGGAGGAGGCCATCCCATATCTCATGGCAGATCTCATGGCAGGATTTCTTCCACCCTGGTGAGCTGGTCCTGCTTTTTGCCTAAGAAGAACTGATCCGAGCTCATTAGCAGGGGTCTTGTTTTAGCCACTACATTGTCAAGCTCAGGTGCAGAGAGCTCAGTTGTTTGACCAGGGAGCACCTTCTTATCACAGTTTCAGCTCAGCTCAACCTGGCACTTTGAAGTAACAGCAGCAAAAAAAACTTCTTAACATGTTTCTACCCTGAGCGCTTCCCAGAGGTGCTCCTGGCTTTGCTTAGGGATTCTGCCTATTGAAGCTACCCTTGGTTTTGGAGCTGCTCCTCAGCTTCCCAAGCAGGATGTGCTACAGGTCTGCTAGGAGAACATATGCATGGTTACACTGGTCTTGCTGGGTTCTTCCTGGGTAGATATAGGTGTATGAAACCAAAGACAGTTGGCAAAACAGATGAATGGGTGATATCAAAGGCTTTGTGTTTATTGATGTGCTGGAGAGCTATCTACGCCAGAGCACTTGCTGGTAGGAGAAGCAGGATGCCATGATGGATCAGAAGGTTTCCCGTGCCGTGGCAGCTTCTTTCCCCAGTGACACAAAATGACATGCTGAGCAAGGTGCTTGTGTAACATTGCCTGCTGCCCCCTGAGCCCAAGTCCAGCTCCCGTTGCTGAACCCAGTGCGAATGTGGCAGCACAGGCGCTGTGTGCACCCCAGTATGATGCAACTCTCCCAGACCTCGTTGCCATCAAGGTGAAGGGTGGCTTCTGTGGCCATGGCTGTCCTCTTTTGTCCCATACCCCTCTTCCATTGTGTCTGTTTGCTTGGCTGAGAAGACTTGTGGAGCAGGGCACAGCGATGTGCCAGCCCAGGCAATGCCGTGCACCCTGTCCCGGCACTCACAGCCCTTTTTGCCGGTGTAGCAGGGAAAACACTACACCTGTGCCGGGCAGCCTGGCGCCTGGGAGCCGGCATGTGCCCAGCCCGTGGGAGATGTGGCGACGGGTGGGGGTGACTGCTAGATATGTGGGGAACGGCCCTGAGGAGGAGATGTTTTCCCCAGCTGCCTTTGCTTGCCTTTGAAAGCCAGATTGGGAAACAAACTCTCGAGGAAGGCTGGGTGCAGGGAACAAGGTGAGGCGCAACAGCGAGGGGCTGAGCACGCGGCAGGGTCTGCTGGGGACTCGGCAGGGGACTGGGGCAAGGAGGGAGGTACCAGCGGGCTCGCTGCCCAGGCATGTCTGGGGAGGGTGCTGGCTGCACCCTTGGCGGCCCTGGCGCTGCAGTTTGGGGCGGTGCTCTGCCAGCTCGCCCAGAAGAGGGGATCTGAGCTGGCTTGGCCATGGCCGCAGGGCTGCGTTTCTGGTGAGCTCGTCAGGGCAGGCAGTGTGGGGCTTGTACTGACTTTTCTGCAGGTGCTCAGCCAATACCTGCTTCAGTGTACAGGCAGCACAGGCAGGAGGGGTCTGATCCAGTCTCAAACCTGCCAGTATGAACTTAATCTGCAAAAAGAGGTTATGCATGGATTTGCACCAGCGTCATGTGTTTGTAGTAGATCACTCTTTTGCAAGATAGGCTGTTTGGATTTTAATAAAATTTTGAAAACCCTACAGCCTGGTTTACTCTATGGTTAGACCATGGGCACGGGGTCTGGGGGAAACATCTGCATGGCCAAGCCCATCACCAAGCAGGAGCTGCCTTCAGGAGATGGCAGGTTCCTGGCCGAGCCTCCTCCCACGCGGGAGCCAGGGATCCCCTGAGGACAGGAGGAGGGTAGCGAATATCACTAATGGTTTAATTGCCTGTGCCAGGGCTAAAACAGCATTGCCTGGAAGCTGCCTGCTTTTTGCAGAAGGTGACCGCTGAGGTCAGCTGCCAGCCTGGCACAGTCAAGTAAGTCATTGCTGAAGCCTGCCCTGCCCATACAACGATGCTAGCGGGTACCCGTGCCAATGCTTTGCTCAGCTGCTCCCTGCCACGTCCATTTGCAAGACCACCCTGCGGATAGTGCCATAGAAGTGGCCACAGGGAGGTTTTTGTTGCAAGCAGCTGATTGCCTCACGCTTTCCTCTGTTACAGGTGGTGATGCTAAGGCTGCAGGGCAGTCCCAGGGAGATGGCAGCCATCCAGGGTCTGGAGACCCTAAGAGGCATCAGAGGGGACGTGCGGAACACCGGAGACACACCATCACCAATGGCGTAGACTTCAGCATGGTAAGGGGACTGCCCTGTCATGGCTCCAGGGAAGGGGCACGTGGTTCCTGGGGAAGGTGGATTGCTGCTGACCCGGCTCTGTTCGGACTGTGGCTTCCCACTTTGCACATGCTGAGCTGTGGGGTGTTGGGCAGATCCTGGTATTTTGGGTACAAAGCCCTGTTGATCTACGTGGAGGTCCTGCCATTATTTCCAAGGTGCTTTCTGTCCCGAATTGTGATGGACAGGGAGGAGGCACGTGTTCCTCTGCCCTCCCCCAGAGTGGGGTCAGCTGTGGAGCCAGCATTTGGCTGCACGGGTGCCTTCCCTGTGGCCAAACACTTGGGCAGAGAAAGGCAAACGTGTAGGTGTAGGAGCAGGTGAGTCTCTCAGCCTTTCAAGCACTCCAGCAAAGGTCAAAGGTCAAGTACGCTCTGCGCTGGCAGGCGGTGGTGCCGGGCAGTGTCCCTTGCCAGATGTTCTCTGTAGGTTGGGGCTCAAGCTTACTGATGCTCCTGAGGGACTTTTTGCCCGTAATGAAGTGAAATCAGCATTGAATTGAGCCGAGCAGCCCAGGATAGAGGGATCTGCTCCCCTCTCTCCATCCCTGGGTGGAGAGGCATGATCAGATTGCCTGGATGAAGGGATCTGCACTGCTCCTCAGTGGGACAGCGGAGCTGCCTGAACGTGTTGGCCACAAGCTCAAGCTAAATTTTCCTGGGAAGAGAGCCAGAACCCAGCCTGCAGGATGAGTGATGGGCAGGATGAGCTCTGGCCGGTGTCAGAGCTGCTGCCGAGGCTGTGACTGTCACCTCTGCACTTCCAACCCTCGCACTCCGGTGTCACCTGGCTCCCCGAGCCCAGTGGGGCTGACCAGCGGTGTGGGCAGCATCGATTACAGCCTGACCTGGCCTTGGGTGACATAACACGCTTCAATGCCTAGGCTGGGGAGGGCGGATTTGTGCACACGTGGTTTGCTGGGCTTGCGGCCATGCAAGGGGTTGGGGTGCTCTTGGGCTGAGGGGGGGTCTCTGCTGAGAGATGCTAGCAAGGACTAATAAATGTAGATGTGTGCGCCTGGGGATGGGGGTCTCTGGTTCTCAGGGTTTTGGTGTCTGGGAATTGTTTCGGAGAGGGGAAGGTCCCTCCTTCCCTGGTGAGGCCCTTCCTGTGCATGCAGCTCCAGGCTGGAGCTCATCACTGCCATGATGGTCCTGTCTGCTACTGGTGAGCAGGGGCTGGTGGCCAGCATGTCTCACTGAGAGCTGGGGTTTGTTCCTAGCTCTGCCACAAGCACTCTGGCTCTGGGCTGGTGTTGCCCTTGCCTCTGTTTCCCCAGGTTTTTGGGGTGGGGGGAGGGAGGTCCTCTGCCTTTCTTACCCCCTCCCCATGTACCCAAGTGCTGCACTGCCTTTTGCGTGCCCCTTCCCCTGGGGAAGAGATGTCTGTCCCTGTCCCGCAGCTGAGAAGCCTTCCCTGCACCCTGGCAGGAGCCTTTGGGTCCTGATCCCGCTTATGAGCATACAGAGACAGTTGGAAAAGGTTTGAGTCCAGCAAGGACCGAATCCCTGTGCAGGATGGTGCTGTCACCTCCCCGCTGATGCTGGGAGCGTGCTGGGCCCCTGAGTGGCAAGGCACTCAGCTGTGATTAGGCTAATTTGCCTAAGGCCCAAGGGGGGACAGGAGCACTGACATCTGTCCTGCATCCCGAGGTGCGCTAGGGATCATCCTGAGCAGCAAAGCGGAGGCGGGGGGCTGTGCTGCAGCCCCAGGACCCTTTGCACTACCACAGCTGGTGTCTGCTCAGCTGGTGTCTTTCAGCCAGTCCATCATTGATCGGCCTGATTTCCCCATGGCCACAGGGGTAGCTGTGATGAGACGTTCTGTGAGAGGCTGAGCGCTTTCATTTGTAGGCAGCCCAGGGCACTGTCTCCTCCCCTCCCACCCCGGGGAGCACCAGCCAAGTCCAGTGCTCTGCCTTCCTCTGCACAAGAAGCTGTCTCTGTCCCCAGAGCATCCCACCCGTAGCGAGATGCTGTCTGTCCCCACACTCGGCAGAGCTGGTGCTGCCTTTTCTTCCAGTCACTGTGCTGGCCAGCAAGCCTGGTAGGACTAGGGCAGGCCAGGCGGTCGTGGGCTGCAGCCCCAGCTGGGTGGACGTCCTTGCCACATACAGCACCTTCTTCGTGCCCCTCAGCAGCAGCCTGCGTAGCACCAAGGCTCTGTGCTTCTTCCTGTGGGTACGTCCCCTCTGGTCTGTCTGTCCATCCAAGTGTGCATGGGGGGGTAGGGGGCTGTTGTGTTGCAAACAGCATTTCCAGGAGCAGTGGCAGCAAGAGCAGCCCTGGTGTAAAGGGTGGCTGGTGTGGGGCGGTTGGGAGGCTTCAGGGCTGACAGTGGGGGTGGGGAAGTGCTGGCGGCCGGAAGAAGGTCCTGGTATGGTCTCACTTGTCCCTGGGGGTGGGGATCTGTTCAGGGTCATTTCTGAGCTGAATCATGCCTCTCTGGATGCTCTCTGAAGCACCAGGAGAGGTTCCTGAGCATCCAGCAGCTTCTGGATGATCCAGCACCCACTAGTGCCTGGAGAAGACTCTCCTGGAGTCCAGTCTGTGCCGTGGGTGGTGGAGGCCAGGCTGTGCTGTGGCAGAGGAGGCAGAGGCAGCAAGGCAGAGCAGCTCCATGTGTTCTTGGCACGGAGACAGGGGAACCAGAGTTGGGGAAGCCAGTTGGCACAGCTCAGGAGAAGGGGAGCAGGAGGCCTCAGCTCACTGGATGAGAGCTGATGAAAGCGTTGCTGCACCGGTTGCTGTGTTCCCCAGGGATGTCCCCTCTTCTCTGGCTACCTCTCGATTGCCGGTGGCAGTGCAGTGCCAAGGGGCAGCAGGAGAAGGTGGCAGCAGCAGAGCAGGGGCCCCCGTGTCCCCTGGGGCACAGACTGCTGTCAGCAGAGGGGCTGAGCCGCCTGCCCTGCAGCAGCCATGGCTGCGCCACAACCCGGTGCGGGGTCCTGTCCTGCCGGTCCTGGGAGCTGGTCTGGGGGCAGGAGCCCTGGGCAACATCGCAGCAGCCCTCCAGGCACATTAAGGTCCCTGCGTCCCTCTCCAGATCCTGCTGGTGCTTGAACCTGAAAGACTGTCAGAAAGATATGCTCTGCTCAGCTTGGAGGTGTCTCAGGGGGATAAAGCGGGGGGGGAGCAGGGTGCTGTGGAAACAGGGCTGCAGGTTTTCCCCTGGCTTCCAGTCTGCACGTTTAGCTCAGCTGCTTGCTGCTCGCTGAAAGCCATGTGTGTTTGTGCTGCTGGCTGATGCTCACAGTCTTGGGGGGATTTGGGGAGTGGCTGGAAGACCTGCTCTTGCTGCATCCCTGGTTAAGTACGAGGTGGAGAAACCTGCTTCTGCAGTGGGGAAGAGGAGGGTGGAGGTGGCCTGACTGTCCCTTACTTGCTTTGGTTGTTCTCCCAAACCAGAGAACTCTTCCTCCAAAGCAGCATCGTGCAGCAGCCGTCATCCCACTCCTCTGTGGCTGAGACCCCTGCCCGTATCCATATCCCTCTGCTCCCCATGAAGAAACCAGCTCCTGGTGCTTGATGAGGCCTTGGTGGGGAGGGGTTGACACTTCTGTGCATTCTATCCTGCAGCTGAAGCACATGAAGGAGCTGGAACAGGAGAAGGATTTCCTGCTGCAGGGTCTGGAGCTGGTAGAGCGCACCCGGGAGTGGTACCACCAGCACATCCAGCTCATGCAGGAGCGCCAGAGACTCCTGGGGAAGAACAAAACCAATGCTGTGAGTCTGGGGCTTGTTCTTGGGGTGCCCATTTGCTTGGGAGGGTCTGGGACTGCTCTGTGGGTTTGGAGGACTGGGCTGGGTCTTGGCTGGACCTGGAGCCAGCCTCATGGTAACCCCCAGCCTCTTCTTCCTCCCTGTATCCCAGGACTTCCTTGCTGAGAGCAGCCAGAGCCAGCTGGGGCTCCTGGTCCCCAAGCTGCAGGAGGTGAACCGCTGTCTGGGTGACCTCCTTTCCACTGCCAGCAAGGTGAGAGCAGCAGATAGCAGCTTGTGGTTGGTTGTGTGAGGACCCATCCTGTCCCTCACCTTATGCTGGTGGCTGGGCTGACATCAGAGCTGCCAGAGTTTCCCCAGGCTCTGGGGAGGTGACTTGGCTCCGTGAGCAAGATCGGGGATGGGGGATGGCCAAGAGGACACTACTGCTGGTCCCGAGCTGGGCTGGAGGATGCTCAAGGCATTTTGGGAACTAAAGGAGATTCCCCAAAAAGGTGTAGCCATTGACAACTGAATAAGGAAACCATCCTGCTGAGGTGCTGAGTCAGCCTCCTTGGAGCTGACTGTCCTGTCAGGCTCCTGGCAGGAGCTGGGCATGCTGGCAGGGATGGTTCCCACTTCTGCCCGCCTTGCTGGAGCCCCTGGAATGCTTCCCACTTCTGCCTGCCTTGCTGGAGACCCTGTGATGGCCTGTGCTGGGGTCTTAATCCTGTGCTGGGCTTCTCTCAGTTCCCCGTGTGCCACAGAAACAGCTTCTGGCCTCGGGAAAGGCTGGGGGGGGCACTGGGATGGGGGCTCAATGTCTCATCCCTTCCCTTCATCTTTGCAGCCAGCGAACCCCACCTCAGCTCTGAGCAGGCTGGTCCCTGTGGCGTCCCCAGCCTCCGCAGGCTCCCAGCAAGCCATCAACATGCTGAAGGAGCAAAACCGGCTTCTCACCAAGGTGAGTGGGGGTATGGAGGGAGGAGATCCCTTTGTGGGGGGAGCTGGGAGAGGAGGCTGGGTGGGATGGGGCTGGGGAAGGAATATGAGGCAGTGGAAAATGTTCCTTCAGCTTGGCCAACCTTGGTCATCCCAGAGAAGGGTGTGTGGGCTCACCTGGAGACCCCCCGTTATGCAGCTGTGTCCAGCTGTTTGCTGGATGAGGGTCTGAGCAGGGATGGGGCATCCCTGACAGAGGGAAAAGACTGTGACAAATGCCGGTCATGAGAGGGCGCAGAGGCTGCAGCTGCGGTTTGCGAGCAGGGCTGCTAGGGAAGGGGCACCCGTGATGCCCCTGCCAGGGCTGGGCTCACTGCTGGGGTTCACATCCCAGCACCCACAGTCCAGCAAACGGCAGCGTTTTCCTCCTCTGAGCAGCATTTTCCTCCTCTGTCCTGTGCAGGAGGTGACCGACAAGAGCGAACGCATCACCCAGCTGGAGCAGGAGAAATCTGCCCTGATCAAGCAGCTCTTTGAGGCTCATGCCCGTAACAACCATGAAACGAGCCAGCTGGACTCCACCTTCATCTAGTGCCCAGCTCCCTGCTCCCCATCCTTCAGCTTCCCTAGGGGTTTTGCGGGACTCGCCCAAAAGCCATCGCACCTGTTGCTCCAGGTGTCACATCTGGAGGTCTGGAGCTGCTGGTGGCATCCCTACAGGAGGAAGCCAGGAATGTATTTTCCTGCCCCTGCCTGGGGAGCATCCCCACACTGCTCTGCTGCTGGGCTTTCCAGCTGCGCTGCTCTCAAGCTGCTCCTTTTCTGTCTCTAAGCAGGCTGCAGGGACTGCACACCCAGCCCCGTGATCCCCAACATGCCGGGGGAAACGGCCGCTGCCCGTGCTGCCTGCGCAGGGGGGAGCTGCTGTGCCCTTGGGCTGACAGGGTGAATTTTGGTTGCTCTCAGAAAAAGATGATGCATCTTCAACCCTCCAGCTGGCATCTCCAGGCAAGCCTGGCCGTTGAAGTGTGGCCTGTCCCCTGCTTGTCCTGCTGTTGGAGGACAAGATTGAAAATCCAAGGGGGAATCCCTGCTGCCTGAGCTCTGCCTGCCAGTGACACTATGCTGGGCCAGAGCAGTGCCCAAGCTGGTGCTCCTCCTGGGGAAATCCCTCTTTCCAGTTTGTGGTAGTGATGCCATAGTCGCTGTTTACACATCTGCAGGCTCCTGTAGTTAATGAGCCATAGACCCAAACAAGGTAGCCCGTACCTCTGAGCTGCTCTTTCAGGCTGTTCGTGGATTGAGGCAGACACCTCTACACACCTTCATTTGGCTTGACCTGGCAAATGTGCCCTTATGACTGCCAGGCTTACATTTTTTTCACGATGACTCTAAAAGGAAAGGTGATGTCCTACAGCATGAAGATGCTAACACAAGACTGATTTCACAGAGGGGCTTTAGGACAAGAGTTTGTATTTAACTGAACATGGGTGATAGAGCAGAAGCTGATGGGCTCTTCCATTTGCACACCCCCAAGTAGAGAAATGGCAGCTTTACCTGTTCTGGTGGTGGACGCTGGCTCCCTGGGGTGACATCCCGAATGTGAACTGCACCCCTCTCCAGGTCTCTCGGGTGGTCTAGGTGTGGGTCCTGTTAGACTGGTGCATCTCAGGATACCTCCTCCTTCCAACCTAGCTGAGTGATGATGCTTGAGCTGAATGGTGTCTTCCACTGTGGCTTGGTACTTGGTATGTATGGTACTTTCATAGGAGACCCTTGTGAACCCCCCTGTAGCACAGGCCTGGCCCTCTGCAGCTCCAAGACCGGGACCTTTCTCTCCAGGGCTGTTTCATGCTCTGACTCTCCTGGCACGATGCCGTGGCACAATGCACTGAGGCAGAAGGTGCTGGACCTGCTCTGCCCTGGGCTGGGTGCCACAGGGCCCAGTTCCTTTCTCACTCCTGTTTTTATCTGTCCAGTGCTGTCTGTCCCATCCAACTCTTCTCTTTGAGGTTGATCTTGACCTGAAGCTCACTGCAATGCATGAATCCTTGCTCTGCCTTTGTCCCTGCTGCCCTGTGCTGGAGTGGGGACCAGCAGAGTGCCAGGCAGAGGCAAAAGGCCACGGCATGTCAAGGCCCCTATCTACAGGAGTAGTCTGTTAGTTGTCCCCTGGGCATCAGTGCCTGACATCTCTGTCATGATGCCACCTCTGGTGTCCAGTGCCTGTTTTGCCTGAGGTTTAATTAAAAGTGACCCTCTTTATAAAGACGGTCACCTGTCTGTAGGGATAATAAAATGGGGTGAACTATTTAATTATCCTTCTGTCTCTCTGCCTAAGTCAGCCTATCTGCTGCTGTGAGCCTTCAAGTTCCTGACTGTCCTGTCCCACGGGATGTGGCATGAGCTGAGATTGCACCATCGTAGCCAGAACACAAAGAGCCCAGGGGGTCTGTGCTCCAGGCTCTGTTCCCATGCCCTTCCAGGCCCCTCTGGGCTTCCCTGTGCTCTGCCATTGGGGAACCTGTCTCTCCTCGCTGCTGTGGGACAGGGTCATCAAAGCCACGTGCACCCCTTTCCAGTGCTTGTAGCTTCATCTGGCTGCTCCCCCAGAAGCTGTGCTGGGAGCTCGTACTCCTCAGGTGGTGCTGGGCTAGTTAACACCTCTAATTTCTTTTCAAGCCTCCTCCCTCAGAGCTGGCCCCCGTGGCTGTGGCAGCGGTGGCCGTGGTGCTCTGCAGTAACTCCTTCCTGCTGGGCAGCCAGAGGGCACCTCGCCGGCACTGCACGCTGTGGCACCCGTCCCTCTGCCCCGCGCTGAGGGTGGCAGCGCCCGCGCAGGGCGAACCTGGGGCTCCGTGCTGGTCGGAGGCACCTTCCTTTGCCCTTGCCACAGCTGGGCTGTGGGGTCAGTGGGGCCCCCTGCACCCCCAGAGCCCTCCAGAGGTCAGCTGGCCATGCCTCCCCTGCCGGGAGTGGAGTCAGGACGGGGACCTGGGCCAAGTCCCCCCAGCTGCGAGAGGGATCTTTGCTGCAGCCTGTTTCAAGTGGCGCTTAGGGCAGCCACGAGTCCCGGGCAGGGCGAGGGGGGGAGGTGATAATTGCCCTCGGTTCCCATTTCGTGCCTTTGCTTGGATGCAGAGCCCATGAGGTCTCTCAAAGGAAAGAGAGGATCATTGTCCCCACCTCAGTGCTGCTTTGTAAAGAGCCAGGGCAGCTCTCCTCCTGCCCACCACTGCCCCGGCCCGGGGGGAACGTCCCGGCAGTGCTGGCCCCGGGGCTAGCTTCCCGCGGGACTGCTGCCCGGTCGGTTCCCATTTCGTGCCTTTGCTTGGATGCAGAGCCCATGAGGTCTCTCAAAGGAAAGAGAGGATCATTGTCCCCACCTCAGTGCTGCTTTGTAAAGAGCCAGGGCAGCTCTCCTCCTGCCCACCACTGCCCCGGCCCGGGGGGAACGTCCCGGCAGTGCTGGCCCCGGGGCTAGCTTCCCGCGGGACTGCTGCCCGGGTGGCAGGGGAGCTCTGGAAGTGCAATGGGCCTCCTAGGACCAGGGTCCCCCTGTGACCTGTGGGGCTGATCTCGAGCTGCTGGGCCTGGCCTGGCCATGCTGTTCCTGGGTCACTGGTGGGTCTGGCCCATGCCTGACCTTCATCTGCATGTCTGGGCTGTGTCCAGTTTGGCACCCTTAACTGGGGCTGGCACCGCTGCGGTGGTGGTCTGGGAGCCACGAGACCTGGGTTTGTGGACAGGTCTGTAAGTGATGCGCTGGGTGACATGGATGAACATCTTCCCTTCTCTTCAGGCTCTGTTCCCGCTAAAGCTGCATTTGCACAGATCTACAAACGCACCTCCAGGGCTCTAATCACATCTGGAAACAGCTGTGTGAAGCTGCAGTCCACGCTGGGAACAGCTGGAGCAGGTCTCTGCTGTCCTCAGTCAGGGCAGCTCCTGCTGACCCACCTCACCTCAGCCCCTCTGTGCTTGACGTTGTCAAACCAAGATGCCACACCATGTAGTGAACACTCATGTCACCAGGCATTTATCAGAGATACCAGGGTGAGATGGCATGGGGAGTGCCCACTGGCAGAGCCTGGTGATGGGGGGCTGTTAGCAGCAGCAGGGTGTGCTTGGCCCTCACCTGGACTGAACCTGGCGATGTGCCCAGCCCCGAAGCTGCCCCAAGGGATGCAGGACCTCATCCTCTGCGTCCTCAGCCACGTGGTTTGGGAAGGATCCGGTCACCAAGGTCTATTTGTAGTTTCTCTCTTCTCCTGCCCAGTTCCATGCCCTTCTCATGCCCTTGGAGGCTGGGCTGCATGCCCAGCTGCCCCCCTCAGAGAAGGGCTGCTTTCCCAGCACAGCAATTATCCCAAATGCCAGCAGGAAGAGCCGCATCTTGGCCCCCCAGCCCATACGTTCTGTGCTTTTTGCTTTTCTTCCCTGCTGCACGGTCAGGAACTGTTCTGCCTGTTGCAGCTCCTCGCTGCCCTGAGCAGTTCGCAGCAGCTCCGGTGCCCAGCGTGCTGTCAGCCTGTGCGCTCTGCACCTGCTGGCCTGCCAGCGCAAACCCCTGCGAGGTGAACCAAGGATGCTCTGGCCTGGAAAAGGCCCTGGGTCCTGGTCTTCCCCAGGATGGGAAGCTGGGCCATGCACGACTGTCTTGGCTGAGGGGTGCTTGGTGCATCTCAGACCTTCAAGCTGGCACCCGGTACCTCTTGCCCGTACCCTTGGTCTCTCATTGTGGGTGTTCTCCTGCCCCAGACAATCCCTGTGCCTTGTTCCACAGCCCTGTCTGTATCCCAGGCTCCAGCTCACCGCTGTTTTTCTCGTCTTGGCAGAGATAAAACTGCCTCCTGCAGCATTAACACCACATGCTCAGTGCTCCCCGTTCCTCCTCCCTGCCTGCAGCCATGGGAGAGCTGTATTTTCCTCTGACACTTGAGGCACGGTGGAGCAAAGACCCACTCCCAGGTGGTGAGGGCCCACGCCTGCCCGCCCCTCTGCAGGGTACGGCAGGGGCAGTGCCGGGTGAGCCTCTGCCACACCATCCCGGCTCCTTTGGGGGGGACACTGGGGCCACGGCTGTGCAAGGTGCCCCAACATCTCCATCGTGGGGGCAGTCAAGCACAGCGTCCTGGCTCTGCTCCAGCATCCTGCCAGGGCCCTGCTAGGTCCAATGTCTCCCGGTGGCCGTGACCCCAGCCTGGCGCGGGTGCTCACCGCTGCCTGCGCAGCCAACCGAGCCTCTTCCAAGGCACAGCTGATTGAAGCCAGATGCTCCCTCCCAGGGAGACCCTGTGCAAGGGGAAGGGGTGGGGTCCCCAAAATTCCTGCTTTGCTCTGCAGCTGTGTGCCATGGGGACTGTGACTTTACTCCCCCGTTACATAAAGAGGCAGCTGCCGTGGTGGATATCCACCATTTCCTCACTCTCAGAGAAGCAGCTGTTGGGGACAAAAGCAGGGACTGGGGTCCTGGCCAGCACCCTGGGGGGGCCACACTTGCTGTGTGGTTGCCCTTAGATCCAATGCATCCCCTTGTGGGACATGGATGTGGCAGTGGGTGCAGATACAGTGGAAGTGGCCTCCTCCTCC